CTTTATATTATTCAGTTGCATGGTTAGCATGTCACCGTACATAACTACACTGACACATAACATTAATAGTTTCACACAGATAGTTTTCTACCTCCGTCTACGAACCACCTGCTCTGAAAAGCGCAGTTATAATTCACAGAAACACAGTATTGATCCTCCAGCTTGTGAGTCAATGTGGCAGAACCACAAAAACAACAGCGAGCTCTTTGGCTCTTTGTCCTCACAGTGTTTGGGCCTCAGAAAAGCCTCCCATCCTCCCACCGGGAGCCGGAGGCCGTGAATGCGTCGCTTCACCTCCGTCAGCCTGAGCAGCACAAAGGCCACGACGGAGGACTCAACAGCCGACAACCTGCAGCTCTGACGCTGATGAATGCTTCAGACACTCGCTGGTTCCCATGCCGTCTGCATGTGCTGCATGTTAATCACAATCCCTCATCCTCTGTTGTCAGCCTGACGCTCAGCCTGCACCGTAAAACACCAACAGCTGAGAAAAGTCCACATTTAAAGGCTCCCAGCTTCATGTGCTACGGCGATTTCACTTTGAAAAAAGTTTATGCAGCTCCAAGTTAAACCAACTTAACTCAGTAGAACTTATAAGGCAAATAATTATGCAAATGAGCTCACAATGCTTACAATCCTCGTCAGCTGAACTCACAGTTTTTATATTTGAAAGTGACAATTAAAGAATTTAACCTTAAAATGAACAAACGTATGAAAACCTGAGCGTCGCTACCAGCAGCAGGCTTCAGATGTTTACTGATCCGGTGGCAGCAGACCAGACTCAGACGGGTAACGACTGGTTGAAAACTTCCTCCGTGAGTCAGGTTCAAAACCGAAACGCCTGAAGTCAGCCGTTAGATTTGTGCAATGCTGCGCGTTGATTAACGGGGTGTGACTCGACTTTGACGTCTTCTTGACTCCTCGAATCCGCATTTCGTAACGGACCGGTGTTTCTGAAGGCAAATGTGCTGCGTGGCGTCTGTTTTGTTGCTGTCGACACCTTTTGCTGCTCGGCTTCCTGTGACAAAGACGAGCCGGTTAACGAGACTCACACACAGGCAGTAAAGTCAGCCTGAGACAGAAGCTTTGGTAATAAAAATATCTTTAATCTCTTTGGGTTTAGTATCTACAAAATCACTTTTGTACAGAAATGCATTCAGAAAGCAAGTGAAGGTGAAGAATTAAACTTCAGGAAAGAAAAGAATCAAAAAGAAGGCAGAAGTGAGTTGATTTTTGCCTAAAATGTTCTTTACAATTAGATCTTTAATTACAAGAGTTTAATCAAAGTTTAAAAAAGACTGAGTTTAGCTTTGAGATGAAGCGATACAAAGAGCACATGTGGCTGCACAATAAGGCTTTACGCGGAGTTTTAATGCAAACTGTTGACTTTTCAGATGGGCTTCATGAGGATTCTAGGTCACACGTTTTTGTGTCACTCGTCTACGTGAGTTTACGCTACAAGGCAAAGTTGCACAAACAACAAATCACACAGTTCAAAACCAGAGTCTACTTTTTAAACTAGTTTTCTTCAAACTTAGAGAAGCTAGAGCACTTTTTTCCTCTTTCTGTTGGTTCAGTTAAGCCTGTTTCAACGAAGAAAACGTCTCCGGTGTTCCACAAGGCTCAAGTCTTGGACCCTTGCTTTTTTCACTTTCAGCACTTTTGGGCTAAAACTACTGGATGGACTGCCATGAAATTTGGCACAGACATTCGCTGTCTTTAATACAATGAAACGTACACCGACTGAGGAACCTGCCAACAGAGTTCGCCTTTTGGATCAGAGGTGAAACATCTTCAAGAACCAAAACAAGTCAAAGGGTTTCTGGACAGAGTTTGTCCAAACATCTAAACTCTTCTGTTTTTCATCCAACGTCAAGAATGCATTTTTTTTATTGGTAGCTTTAAAACTATTTAAATATCACCCATTTGTCAAGGCTCAATTCTTGGACCTGCTTTTGGAAATCTGGTCAAAAATAGCGGATCTCAACGGCTACCAGATACATTAAAGGTGAAATTCCTCCCAAAATGCTGTTTCTTTTCTCAACAAGCTTCTCTGGTGTTCCTCAAGGTTCAACACTTGGACATTTGCTTTTTTTTGCCAAACAAACAGCAACGTTTTGTGCCAGAGTGAAATATTTCAACATCTAAATTTGCCACAGATGTTTCAGTTGTGAGAAAATCCTTCCATGGATAAAGAAAGTTTTGGCCTAATTTACTTAACTCTGAAAACTCTGAAAGTCCAACCTGGTGGGTGAAGATAAGGAGATGAAGTCGGGAGAGTCCCAACAATCGCAGCTCATTCTGATTCTGACCCACATATTGGGCCAAAAATGACAAAGAGCGCAAAATGACTAAAACATGCCAGAAAATGAGCAGCGATTGCTTGGAAATCCTCTCACACATGTCTGCACGGACGTCGAATGGGGGAAGAGTTTTTTCTGTGTTGTTTAGCGGAGATGAAGGGTTTCTCCAAGTAATTAAGACAAATGTTTCTTGGGACGCAATATGCAGGGCAGATGTGAAGCCAAACTGTTGCGCTCAAACCTCATTTCCATCACAGAGATGTGAGCATATTTGAGAATTTACATGCGAAGCGCTGACAGTTGTGGCTGCTTTCAGTTCGGGGTCACAGAAACCGGAATTTAGAGCTTTGATTTCGACACCTCGCTTTTCAGATCTGCCGTCCCTTAAATCCCAGAGACGGGCTGAGAGATCTTGACTTTTCCCGTGTGACTGAATTACCCTCATGCAACTCTGCTTTCAATTCATGCCTGGAAGGATTGGTCCTGCCAAAGCCTCTGAGCGTCTGTTTAGAGGACGGCTGTTTATTTATTGTTTGCTGCAGACGCTCTGATGTGGATCTTGTTCTCTCAGAACTCGTCTCTATTTATTTAACAAACCCTAAAATCTAGTTCTTGAAAAGGGGTCGAGGGTCAGAGAGGAACTTTCCTGGAAACTGAGAAAGGTCAGAGAAGTTGGAAAAGCAGCGTCAGGAGGAGGGTTGGCTGGAAGGGGGGATGTGACTCAGACGAGGTGGATTTGATGAGATTTGAGCCCCGACGGAAGCTGCTGAGCGACTGCAGCTTCAGTCTGTTTGCAATTATGACTAAAGAGGCTGGAAGCCGCAGAGTTGGTTCGGTGGAAGGAGACGAGCATTCCTGCGGGCCGAGGAACATCGGAGCCGGGTCACGCCGAGGTGAACCAGCCGGGGAGAACCAGGCGTCGGACCTCGGGCCCGAGTCTCCTCCGACATCCGACAGCAGAGGCTCTGTTTACCCTTCGAGGGAAACCCAAACCACCGTCCTGGTTCCTGAGGGGGTCAGAGGTCGGGGCAGCGCCTCTGAGCCGGCATGGAGCTCCAGCCTGGATCTGAAGTGTCCCTACATTGCCAACATGTGTGTCTGTAGGATGAAAAAGCTCTGCGACGAAGGCAGACAGTCGGTCGCCAGCCTCCAGTGAAGCTCCCACAATCACGTTAACGCTCATTTTAACCAGAAACTACCAGCAACACGAGGTAAAAATGCTAAAACAAATGTTGGCACTTTGTTGTTTTTCAGGTGCTTCTAGCTGCAGCTGTTTATCCTCAGCACTGGTCCAGATTCAGAATTTATCCTCGACTTAAAAGCAGCAGAGTTGGAGCTTTCTGTTGATTCTATCACGCGTAGAAGAAGAATTTAATTTACAACGAGACTGTTTTATTTCAGAGCAGGTGAAGTTCACCTACAGAAGAAATCTGAATTTAAAATGTTCTCTGGTGTTCCACAAGGTTCAACACTTGGACAGTTGCTTTTTCATCAAACAAATACGAGCACGTCGGCACAGAGTGAAATACTTCAACACGTGCTTGTGCGTGCTGTGAAGAGTTTTGATCCGTAAAACTTCCTGCTGCAGCTTTTCAGAACTTTTCAGAGCCGGTGATGCAGAAACACAGTCTTATTGTATTTACAGATTCTTTCAAACGCTGAGCTCAAGGTTTGTCAGTTTGTTGTGGAGACGGAAACTTCAAAAGCAGTTTGGGTGGTAAACTGAGGTCAGTGTTGTTTTCTGTTATTTCTGATCATTCAGACAAAACAGGCTTGATTAGTGGAACGCTAATTAACAACACTGGTTATTTTTGCTGGTGATATCAGTGCGGTGGACTTTTCTCTGCAAGTTAATCTTAAAACAGGGAATTTGCTCCTACAAGCTGGACTTAGTGTTTCCATTGGGTTTGCATTGTGGGTGCAATCTGTGCCAAATTTCATGTTTGGTGATTGGAATCTTGTGCTTTAGTGGCGTTTGTGATCTTTGTGTTTCTGTTGAGGTAAAAACGTCTTTCAAGTCTCCCCGCGAAGTGCCTTTCATGTCTCCATTTGCCTCCAGCTCTCACCCCGTCGCTCAGTCCACCAGTGACTTGAGGTCGGGCAGTCCTTTCAGCTTCAGGTCCAGCAGCATCTGACCGAAGGCTTTGCCCTGAGAACACAGAGGAGAACGTCATTACCAGGCCGAGGCGCTGTGAGTGTGTCTTTACGGCCGTGTGAAGTGGGCGCATTAGCACGTCGCGTTGCTTTGATGTGCTGCGAATTCAGCGAGGAGGGAGCAAAGCTTTACAGGAGTGTCGGGCAGCGAGGCTCCCAAAGCTTCCAGAGCAACTTGGCAGACTCCTGTGAGCTCAGCATCGCCACAGCTCATTTCTCCTCCTTCAGCCTCTGAGCTGCAGCACATTTAAAGTCAAACGCATCAAAGTGCCAAATCTCAGCTTCAGTTTGAGTATATGACAGGAACCGTGTGCACACGGAGGCAAAATCCTCATATTTAACTCTCAAAGAGGCGTTTTCGTTTCAAAAAGTACACCATCTACCAAAGCCAGAAACTGTAGAAAAATATGTCGTATTTCTTAACTTTCTGACGGTCCTTGAACTACTCATGTGTGACACGCAGCTCTGTCGGCACAATTAACCAAACCGAAGCTTCAAGTTGTAATTTTGCATCGAATTTCATAGAAATAAAAACATCTTCAGGTTGAACTGCAGCCAGAGTTTCCTCAGAGAGACTGAGAGTAAAATCCAACATGCTGGGTCAATAAATACATGCAGCACGGATCAGAACCAGAGAACAGAGGA